TTGTTTACAGATGAAGGTTTTGTTGAGCTCTCAAACTTTTCTACACCTTCTAAAAGTCCTGAGCCAAGTGAACAATATGAAAAACATAATTTAAAGAGTATATGGGACTATGCATTCAGTTTAGGAAAAGTTTTGCCATCTTGGGAGAACAGTCATGGGTAAATTGGTAATTAAGTAATTGGGTGTTTAAACAAAATTTCATTAAAGTACTTTGTAAATGTTTTGATCTTCTTATAAAAAAGTTTGTAAATTATTTTCTAGAATATTTATAAAAATTGATTACTAAATTCTTGCATAATCATAGAGCAATAACAAGCAACAAATATATATCTGAACTTGGAAAGAAAGGTTTTGATTGTTTGTACAACATAAGAATATCAGGAATTGAACGCATCATTGGATGTTCACTTCAGGCTGTTGTAATCTCTGAAGAACAATTGTATCGAGATTCATTACATGTTTTAATAGGGATTCATTCAGAAAGTTACAATTTTTGTCAAGTGAGGATACTTTTTTTTGTTTTTGTTTTTATGATGAATGCTTTTTAATAGTTGTAAGTATTCCTTTTTAAATCTTATTATAAAGAGCTTATTATTATTAACTAATTATTTTTGATCATTATAGTTATAACTGCAATATATATTCATTGATATTATAGTTAGACTTTTTTTTATTTAATTTTATTATGTAGGAATAGTTATACACCTAAAGTTATTTTGTTTGATGTCTAATTATTTTTGAGTAATACTTTATTAAGGGACCTTTTTACGTTTCTACCTTTTGGGTGAGCATAAACAGTTGGTCTTTGTTGGTTCATCTCTTTATAAAATTGTTTAGAATTTTTCTGTAAGGTTCATGAAATGTAAGCAAAATGAAATAAATGTACTATCCATTTTCTTTAGGACAGCTGTACATTTGTGCCTGCTTTAAATTATCGATGCTCTGGATATAGTGCTGAAGCTATTAATGGAGTTATGTTAAAGTTTGCAGCTGTGGGAACAAGCTATTGTAGACTGAATAAATTTTGTTTGTATTATGCTGAAAATTCTCTTTTATACCAAAATGGTGGTTTAGTATTAAAAGCTTTTGTAAATGCGATGAATAATGTACTCAGTTCATATTGGTCTGCAATTTTTATTACAGAAGGTATCAGTATATATGTTTTAAAATATTTAAAAAATAAAAATTAAATTTTCATGTTGTATTTAACAGAACCAAAAATTGCAGTTTGAGTAAAGAAAAAGGGTTTTAAAAAAGGAAACAGGCGTAAGTCTTGAATAAATCATGAAAGTTTACCAAAGTATAATGAACATTTTTTTATTCTTTTGATTCCTGATTCCTGTTAAACATAAAAAAAAACAAAATAAAAAACAATAGAATTATTTAAGTTAAAAAATTGTTACTACTAAAACTTAGGTTAAAACAAATATTCTGTGACATAATTTTGTAATTTTGTAACTTATTATATAAATGAGGTAACAACCTGTGTTTTCAGAAGGTTTTTAATTTTAATTAAAACAATGCACAGTGATCTGAAAATTTTAATTTTTGGCAGATATCAGAAAATATAAATTTGATAATTTTTTTTTTGCTATTTTTTTCAATTCTACATTATGCAGTCTATACAAAAATATGTTTTTTCTTGAAAGAAAAGTCATTAACCATATCTAAAAGTGATTAAAATTAATATATAATTCAATGCAAAATTTTCAAATTTTTGTGTAACTTCATAATTGTTTGCATATATATATATATATATATATATATATATATATATATATATATATATATATAATATATATATATATATATATATATATATATATATATATATATATATATATATATATATATACTGAATGAAGACATCATGTATGAGAGTATAAACGATAACAATATTGATGTATACCCATTTGATAATGGAATGGGCTTTGTAACAATCCCTCAGGATTTTATTGAAAGCAATAAAAAAGATTCGAGAACAAATTGGGCTAACTAAAATTATCAATGAGGATCCAACACAAAGTTATGCAATAAAAATCAAAGTCCAACCATCGAAATTAAATAAAAAAGGTTGGTTCGCAAAAGATGAATATCAGCAAATTTATCCCAGTGACCCAATACCACCTTGTATGTATGGTGTAGTTAAGGCACATAAGCCTGAACAATCTTACCCAATAAGAGTTGTAGTATCTACAATAGGCACACTAAACTACAGAATCTCAAATAACTTAGTAAAACTAATACAACCGTTATTAAATAAAAACCCAACTCGATTAAAAAATTTACAAGAATTCGTAGAAAAACCAACCCACTTATTGATATAAAGTCATTTTATAGATGACAAGATGACAGTCAAACAAGATGACAGTCATGCTAGAGTACCTAACATTGCCCAGGCTAATCAATTTAAGACAATACTTAATCAACAGCATCCAAAAATACAATATGCCATCAAATTTGAAAAGGACAAAAAAACTAAATTTTCTAGACATGCATAATAAATAAAAAAAAGGTAAATATGAATTTAAAATACACAGAAAAAATGCAATTACTAACATTCAAGTTAAGGCAACATCAAACCATGACCCACAAATTTTAAATGGTATATTTAAGGGTTTTATACATAGAGCTTTTAATGTATGCAGTCAGTCATATAGAAAATGAACTGAATTTCCTTATTCAAGTATTTGTCAAAAATGGCTCCAAATAGTCCAATCTCATAAAAATCATAAAAGAAAAAAAAGAAAGTAAAAAAAAATCCTAGTGACTACTAAAAACATTGACAACATCACTAGTACGTATCCAACGATTTCATTACCTTGGGTACCAAAGTTGTCTCCCAAATTGTGTAAAGTGTTTAGGAAGGCAGGATATAAAACGGTCTTCAAATCAAACTTGAACCTAGAGGCAATATTAACATCAAGTAATAAACTACAAATGAAAAGTCACCCAGGAGTCTACCTTATTAAATGTCATTGTAGCAAAAAATATGTAGGTGAAACAAAAATGCAAATAAAAACACACATGCAATAACACAAAAACAGTACAATAGGAAGTAAATCAGAACGATCTGCATTAGCCACACACATGAGACATTTTACACAACAAATTAACTGGGACATTTGCAGGACTCAGAAAATATTTGATAGGAAAGTTAGTGAGGCACTTGAAGTATATATATATATATATATATATATATATATATATATATATATATATATATATATATATATATATATATATATATATATATATATATATATATATAATATATATATATATATATATATATATACTTCAATACATATATAATGCGGTAGTGGTGTAGTGGTAGAGCGCTCGCTTCATGAACGAGTGGTTCCGAGTTCGATCCCCACCACGTCCCTGGTAGTACCGCGCTCAACTCGTTTCTCCGCGCAGCGGTCTTGTTCGTCAAGGTTCGTGTTTCAGAGTTATAGAGTTGAGAGAGGGTTATAGCCACAAATAAGTAGCCTCCTCGTCTGTAGTGGCCTTCTCGGCCTTAAGGAGGTGAATTAAAATAAAAAATATATATATATATATATATGCATATATATATATATATATATATATATATATATATATATATATATATATATGTATATATATATATATATATATATATATGAAGTATATAATATATATATATATATATATATGTATATATATATATATATATATATATATATATATATATATATATATATATATATATATATATATATATATATATATATATATATATATATATATATATATATATATATATATATATATATATATATGTATATATATTATATATTTATATTTTAAAACAGAGTTTTAGAGTTTAGAGTTTAATTTAAAAAATTAGTAATTTTTTGAGTGTATATTTGCATAAATTGTTGATGTTTTAAATTATACATATATTAAAAAAAATAATCAGCTTTGCTTATTATTATTATCTTTAAAGCTCTTGAATTGAAAACTGAAACTGTATATTTATAGTACACTTTGGATGTCTATGATTATTTAATAATTCCTTAAAAAATCAGCTACACATAAATAAAGTAATAAAACTTATATCTATTTCTAAGTATGCAGTATTGACATTATATTTGTGTTATTTTTATGCTGGATTTTCATGTAAAAAGTTCTGAAAAATATTTGTAAATTATCATCTTAAATTTTAACTAAAATATGGGCACTACAGTAACGGAGGCTGCTTTTTGTAGTTACAACCCTCTCTCATGTTTGTATATATATATATATATATATATGTATATGTATATGTATATGTATATATATATATATATATATATATATATATATATATATATATATATATATATATATATATATATATATATATATATATTAAATTCACCTCCTCAAGACCGAGAAGGCCACTACAGAGGAGAAGGCTACTTATTTGTGGTTATAACCCTCTCTCAACTCTATAACTCCGAAACACGAACCTTGACGAACAAGGCTGCTGCGCGGAGAGTTAAGCGCGATACTACCAGGGACGTGGTGGGGATCGAACTAATAATACGAATCAAATTAATAAGACTAAGTTTAAATTACAATAAAAATGCAAAAAGTAACAATAGAAAGCGAAATAAATTACAATGGCAATGAATGTTGGAATAGTTGAAACATGTCAGTTAATTTTTTGTATGGTTTCCCTTATTTTTAAGCTGTGCCTGGACCCTTGAAGGCATCCCATGAATAAGTTTCAAACTAAGCAAAGCTTACGGATTTCGTCGTCATGATGCCAGACATTGATCAAAGCCTCAGTCAGTTCCATCTTGTTTTTTAATTTCATCCCTCCTACTCTTCTTTTAACAATCTCCCATAGGTTCTCAATTGGGTTCATTTCAGGTGAATTACCTGGCCTCTGCAGAAGCTTAATGTGGTTGTCAGCTAAGTATTTCTTGACTGTCTTTGCAGTGTGACAAGGTGCTCCATCTTGCATAAAAGTGAACAGTCTTCGCCGACACCATTCGCCAAGTTGAGGCAGCAGTGGTGTTTCAAGTACCTTCTTGTGTTGAACTTGATTCATGGTGCCTTCTACAATATACAGTTGTCCAGGCCCATGAATAGAGATAACTGACCAGACCATGGCATAGGTTGGGTGCTTTACTGTCTCTGCAACACAGTCAGGATGAAATTCTCCACCGGACCTCCTACATACATAGGCTGCTTTCTCATCCACGATGTAAAAGGATGATTCATCACTGTAACACATCTGAAAGACTCCAATCATTTTCAGTGAAATTCTTGTGTTGCTTTCCCCATGCCAAACATTTCTTGATCATTGCCAGAGTCAGCTTTGGTTTTCTGCGTGGCCATATAAATTATATACATTAATTTAATAACTAATTTGTGCCAAAGTAGGTACATTTGAAAATAATCTCGGTTTTGTAGCCTTGTCTAATAATTTGGCCACCACTGTAGTTCTTGACTGGGCCTGTTTATGCAATATCAAAAAACAAAACTTTGAAATTAAATACTGTTTTCAGATTTGGATTCAGCATGATCGATTTTGTTTATAAACATTAAAGTTTACTAGATCGATTTAATTTTAGCCAAAAATCAAATTTTTTAGACAATTTCTGTGCAATTACATCACAATAATGTTATTGCTAATTATAACTGTATACATATGCATATGTAAACTGACCAATTAAATCGTTAAAAATGTTCTATTTCTAATTATACTAATATAACTATAATAAATAAAGAAAAGAATAAATAAATAAAGGAAAGAAAAGAATGAAAAACTGTTAAAGGTACTTTATTAATATAATGTTAGTTATACTCTTATAACGTCACTTTCCATTATTTAATGTAATTTCTTTGTTATGTTTATATTTAGTAATTCTCGACAGAGATTTTTCAAATTAGATTTTGGCTATTAACTATTCAACATAAAAAAACTTCAAATTGAGGTTATTAAGATTAGACCTAAATGATTTTCATTGCAAGCAAAAGTTAAATGCTAAGAAAATTGATATCAAATATACATAAGTATATTAAGGCTTTCATGTAGAGTTTTATTAATTATTGTATATTTTTTCTTATTTTAGTAAATTTTTGCTAATATTATTGTTTCACTTTCGATTTGTTTTCGAAATTTTTTTTGTATCATTTTTGACAAGCTACTTTATTTAAAAAAAAAAAAATTATATGACTAACTAAGAAATTTATGGTAAAAATCAAAATTTAAAAAAAATTCATGCCTTTTGGTCACATGCTTGACCAAAAGATGTTTTTCTTATTCTATTTATCATGATTTGCAAAGTTTTTTGCAGTAAAACTTAAAAATCTTTTTTTCTTTTTAGACTCATTCTATTAGATAGATTTTCTTTCTTAGATATAGTTCTTTTTTGAACTTATTATTTATTTATTAATATAAGTATATATATATATTTTTTAATCATTAATTTTGATCTCCATTAAATTTCTTTTTAAGTTTTTAAAAGAGTTGCAAACCTTTAAGTTAGCTTCTTATTCAATTACAATTTTTAGCTAGCATGAATTCAGTTTTCAGGATTTAGTGTAGCACTTAAGTTTAACTGAAGAAAATCATAACAGCTTTATTGTAAACAACCTACACCAACATCTTTACTTCATTTTGAAAGATTTGAAAAAAGTGTAAAAAAAAAATGCTGTTGATAATTGCTTTGTAATAGCCCTCAATGTTGGTTGTTGTTGAAAATTACAATTTTTAATTCCTGAAAAAAAATTGCAAAGGAATGGTATTAGCATTTCTGTACAGGACCAAAAGTTGTTTATGTACATCGTACATTTATAAAAATTTTAATATTATTTTCAAAATTTAAGATAAGCAAGCTAGAAATAGAAACTACAATATTATTGTTGTCACATAAATAACACTAACTTAAACTGTAATATTTTTGCTTCATAACAATGCCACAATCATATTGTTCTCTAATTGTTTTTAAACCTGAAACATTAATAATTTTCCCTGCAAAAAAGTTCCAGTGTCTATACTATATTGTTAGTGAAGTAGTTTTGCCTCTGTTTGCAATGCTTTGTAAATAATCAATTTATTCGCATATCATCACCATGAGTAACACAGCTGGTCCATCATACAAAGAGAAGGGAAGCAGCTTTGGTTGTTGGTGCCAGTTAAAGTCATCAATACGGTGTTTTGTTTTAAACTGTTATATATTGTAACTGTTGTATACACACTTCTGATCTATCTCTCAATCAGAGTGGTAAGAACAAGTGTTTCAAGTTAATCTTTAAATAGGAGTTTTGATATTGAAAAAATTACTTTATCAGTTTTTTGTTGAATGAGTTCTAAAACTTGAGTGTCTCCCACTTAATATGATGACCATGGTTGAACTTTAAATTCTAAATGCAGTCAAATGTATATTTTGTATAGCAACTTTCACAGATTTAAATCTCTGTGTTCAAATGCTTTTTTAAAAATCCCAAGTATTTGATTGGGCTTCATAGCAACAGAATCTGCTTTTGGTTTAACTTAAAGGTCATCCAAGATGAGTATACCTAAATCTCATTCAATATGGGTAAGAGCTGTGTGACTTGAGTGTCATTGTACATACAGTACTTATGATTTGATTTAGTTAATTCTGCACCAATGATATAGGTTTATTATGTGGGTTTTTAATTCTGCACCAATGATATAGGTTTATTATGTGGGTTTTTAATTCAGACAAACCATTTATAATGTAAAGTTTATAATATAAAAAATAGTTGTAGGTTTGTAATTTAAAAAAACAAATCAAAAATTTGGAATTCTGTTATGTAATAAATAAATGAAAATAGTAATTAAAATATTTTCTGTATTTACATTTTAAGGAAAAGAAGAATTTTCATTAATGGAACTTTGGCATATGTTTAGTAAATTTGGAAGTCAATTACAGTAAGTTAATTTAAGATTTTTTTTATGATGAATGTTATGTCATAAATTAAAGTAAGTGATCGTTTCTAATGATTTTATATAATTTAGTACATATAAATGTTATTAAAAATAATAAGTTACAAACAAAAAAAAAAAAACAAAAAAAAAAAACAGAAAAAATTTGAATAATCCTAATAAGAATCTATTAATTTCAAATGTTGGCTTTTTTATTTTATACTGAACATTTAATTATTGACAATATATTATAAAAATATTTTTTCATTATAATTTATATCTGTTATTGTTAATTTTATGAAAATATATTTTAGATATGTTTTACAAAATTAGGCAAAAAGGCACCTCCATATTCAATAAATTTTGTTTTTTAAATTTAAAATGTTGAATTAGCCAAAATAAAATTTTTAAACATTTTTTTATTGTTTTTTTAGCAACTTGCACTTGGCATATTTGTAACTATTTATAAATGGTATCAGGTGTTTTGCACCTGGCTCCATTTATAAATCTAATTTACTTTTTAGATAAGAACATTTGAAAAAGTTACGAGAATTGTTAAAAAATTATTGATTTAAGTATTTCTAAATATTATTATTGATTTTTTATGATGCTGTGTTTTTTTTTTTTTAGGTTTTTAACAGATTTGTGTCTTTGCTCTGAAGCATTTCAAAAAGCGGAACATGAGAGACCAAAAGCAGAACATGAGAGACCAAAAGCAGAACATGATAGACCAAAAGCAGAACATGAAAGACCAAAGTTTCCTGTTGTATGTTTTTTAGAATGATTTTAAAATTTTCTTTTAATAATTGAATTGATTAAAAAAATTTTTTTTTTGATGATTTAAATAAGGCTGGCTTGCTTATATTAAATTTATTTTTTAGGGTGCCAGCTTGCTATCATACTTATATTCACTCTGCATACATAATTCATCCACACAACAATACCAAATCTTGCTTTATCTTTTTAAAGCAGTTACTGTACCATACATTACGTATGCTTTTTATAACAAATTTCAAGCTTAATTATATATATTTATGTATAAGTTTGTTGTTATTAACTTCATAATAAATTTGAAAATAACTTATTTAAAAGAGTTGAAAATAAAAATTATAAACATGTGGAAATAAATCATTGAAATGAGTTTTGCATTTAGCTATGTGAAAGTAATGCAAATTTTGAATTTTTTTTTTCAGCTTTATTAGCAATTGGATCTTTGAAGGAGTGTGTGATGATCCGTATGATGAGTTTTTTGTCAAGATTGATCAAAAATCGCTTAGTTATAGAGGTATTGTACTTTTTATAGAAGTAATCTAAAACTTTTTATTTAAGTATTGTATAATTTTTAATAGGAGTATTGTAAAACTTTTTATATGAGTATTGTAAAACTTTTTATAGAGGTATTGTTTAACTTTTTATAGAGGTATTGTATAACTTTTTACAGAGGTATTATATAACTTTTTATAGAGGTATTGTATAACTTTTTATAGAAGTATTGTATAACTTTTTATAAAGGTATTGTATAACTTTTTATAGAGGTATTGTATAACTTTTTATAAAGGTATTGTATAACTTTTTATAAAGGTATTGTATAACTTTTTATAGAGGTATTGTATAATTTACTTTCAACATACTAATTCGAACTGTAGCATACTCTATTTTTTATCTAAAGTCCTTAAATTGTGTGATCTTATTCAGCTATCAAATTGTCTATTTGTTTGGAACCAAAATCATAATAACTTACCTCTTACATTTATCAACTTTTTTAGTTATAGGGAAAACTGTAAATATATTCTATGATCTGCTCTCAACTTTAAATTATCTGTACCTAAATACCGAACTGTTCATTACGGCTATGAATCCATACAACATAAAAGCATACAAACCTGGAACAATCTCCCTTCCCAATTAAAATCTCTTAAATCATTCTCATAATTTAAAACTGCTCTCTTTAACCATTTTTTAGAAAAGTACTCTTTATAAATCTTATACCTTTTTACAACTTATTATTTATAACCCTAACACAGTGCTTCTATTTATCTTTTATTTTTTCTCTTTTCTATCGTGATATATTACTAATTTTGATATCAATCATTAAATTTATTATTATAAACTGATATGTTTCTATAGTATTCTCTTATCACTGTTGTTGTTATTATTACTATATTTTTATCATAATCAATATTATTGTAATTGTTATTATTGTTGTTGTTATTATTTTTGTTGTTATTATTGCTATTATTATTGCTATTATTATTATTATTATTATTATTATTATTATTATAGTATATTCTTTTTATAATCGCTACTATTATTTTTTTCATCACTATAATCACCACTATTACTTTTATTATTCCTACTTGTATTATAATTATTTTTATTACTATCTCCATCTTATTTTTATTTAGTTTGACAGGTGTTTACTTTATATTAGTACAAATTACTATTTGTAAATATCCTTGATGTAACAACTTTATTCAGAATATATTTGATTTTATTTGATTTGATTATAACTTTTTAATTGAGATATCTAATGTTTTCTATTATAAAACTAATGGAGATATCTAATTATTGTTTTATATCTATTTAATTTATTAGACAAGCAATTTTGGACAAATGGATTTCAAATGAAGCATAATAAAGAAAACATACCATTATTTTTGGATAGTATAGCAGAAGAAATTTTTGCATGTGGAAAAACTATTAACTTGATTAAACTTGTTAATAGCAGAGTAATTATTGTTTTTACTTTTTTTTTTAAACTAACTTATAGTAATTAAATCTTAAACAAATTTTGAATCTTTTAGTATTTTCATATAGCACTATCTCTTTTATCTCTTTTATCTTTTTATCTCTTTTTATCTCTTTTTATCTCTTTTTTTATTTACTTTTAGTAATTTAATCTTGAAAAAATTTAATTACTTTTAAAAATCTTTTAGTATTTTCATTTAGCACTATCTCTTTGAACAGCCAAATGCTATTCCCAAAATAAGAATAACGTTTTCTCCAACAAAACTTGACTTAATTGAACAAGATTGTAAGCAATATATAAAGTGTGTACAAGAAAGTGAACAAAGAGATATTATTAATAAAAAGATTCAGGTTTGTTGGAAAATATTAATCTAAATATAATGTATATAAGTGTCATAACTTGTTATCTAATATAGTCTATTAAGACGATGGTTAAATGTAATTAGTAATTGTGCTAAGTAAGCTATAGTAAATAATAGGTTTGGTTGTGCCATTTTTTTAAAATTAAAAAAAAAGGGTATTTCTAAGTTGTGCCATTTTTTTAAAGTTAAAAAAGAAGGGTATTTATAAAAGTTTTTTAAACATATCTTTCGCAAAACCATTTTTGTGTTAAAAATTTAAAACTTTAAAAATTTGTTTTAAAGTAAACTATAACAAAAATCAAACTACACTAAAAATAAAAGAACTTATATATAAAAATAGTATAAAAGAAATAAGAATAAATAGAATATAGAATAAATAGAATAAAAATAAAGATAAAAATAAAACTTTACAAAAATAAAACAACACTACAAGAGTTGTTTTAAAGCGGGCTATAATATACAAAAATAAAACTGCACTACAAAAGTTGTTTTAAAGTAGGCTATAATACACAAAAATAAAACTACACTTTATTACAAAACACATAACAACACACTACAATACAAAACACCTAAAATAACACACACTAAATACAATACAACACACTAGACTACAAAACATAAATAACATACTACAATATAAAACACAATACATAAATACAAATCACACTACAAAACACTATAAATTTTAAGATTTTGAATAAGATTAGAATGTGGCTCAAGCTTGGTAAGGTCATTTATAATGTCTCTAAAGGAGGCAAAGAATCATTAGATGATCCAACCCAAATAAAGCAACAGTATTCTTTGAAAGGATGGATAAGATAAGGTAGAGAATGGATTCAGATGTAAGAAAATGGATAGCATGTTAAAGAGAGACAACTTAGCAAATGCTACTCTTGTGCAGAATAAATGAACACAAATACGATCAATTAAGCTAAAGGTCAATTAAGCTAAAGGTCAATTAAGCTAAAGGTCAATTAAGCTAAAGGTCAATTAAGCTAAAGGTCAAATTAGGTTAAATAGGGTCAAATTAGCTAAAGACCTTAACTCTAAGCTAAAGACCTTAACTTAAATTATGACTTTACAAAAGTTGAAAGATAAAAAATATTAGTATTGGTAGTGTTGGGGGATTTTTGGCTAGTCAAATACTTGAGCAATAAAAATTTTGACAGAAAAACAATATTTAAATTCTACAGGTACAATCAATTAAAAAACAATAAATAAAATCTAAATCCTTAATTAATATTATTTAAACTAATAATCCTGGAAAAGCTTCTAAGACTAATCTCACATCTTTTTTATCATATTATGATATAATAAAATGTTTAAAAAAAGTTTCTTAAAACTTGCAAATCAAACTATTAAATGCAAAAACTGTACTATGAAAAAAAATGTGTTATGGATTAACCAATCTCCTACAAGAAGTTACATAAAATATTAGATTTTGAATTAGCCAATTGTTTTTCCACATATGTTTAATTAACACCATTATCACTCACAATATTAACAGCAACATTGTCAGGTCACTTTTGATATTAGTACAGTGGTTTAGATATACCAATGTCAAAATCACTCAGATTAAATTTATGAAAACTAAAGTCTGCATTAAAGCTTTTTTTTTTTTGTATAAAGTTATGAGATACATTTAAGGGTCTGAACAATGAAATTATTAAATAAACCTTAGACAATAGGTTTAGAGATAATTAAACTTACAAAAACAAATTATTGAGATATTAACAAAAACAATAACAACAACAACAACAAAAAGCTATTTATTTTCTGTAAATCATTTTTACAATAGTTTTGATAATAATAATAATAATAATAATAATAATAACAATAATAATAATAGTAATAATAATAATAAAATAATAATAATAATAGTAATAATAATTGTAATAATAATATATTAAAATAATATAAGATAAAAAAAAAATGCAAATTATAGTAATAGTAATAATAAGTATGTTTACAATAATTACAATGAAAAAATAATAATAACTATTATTGTAATGGTAGTTATGAGCATAAAATTATTTATAATAATAAGTTATTGATTTATTTAGGATGATATCACTCATACAGAAATCTGATCAAAGGAGTGACACCAATTTTTAAACACAATTTAAGTAATAATAAGCAAAGACATACATTGAAACATATGGACTGTAAGCACATAGATTAAAGCACATAGAACATACATAAAAACAAACATGTAGAAATCATAATTTTCAGGTTTTGATAATAAAAAAAAGAGAAAAATAAACAAAAAGTACTGATGATAATTGTAGTAATAACAAAAAAAAAGTTACAAGAGTATTTTAATTGTAAAAATAATATGTTTAGAAGTTAGAATAAAAAGTTTCTCAGAATTTTTTAAGATTTATATTGTTTAAGATGGAGTAAAGGTATTTTAGGATATAGTTTTTTGGACTCATTCAAAATGCATGCATGGTTCCTGTTCTATTCACAGATGCACTGATAAGCATTAAAATTTTTACCATAATTCTGGGCTTAAAAAAATGGTACATTTAGTTTTCCATTGTATATATTTCTAGTAGAGTAGGAATGTAATAGTCTACTTTCTGTGAACAAGTTTGTGATAGGAGATTGTAAGTTTTTATTTAAGGAGTCAAAAACAAAAAGAAGATACTTTACTAGCCCTTGAAATATTAGAATAAAATTTTTTTGAAGGACTTTGATGTATCTGATTTAATTGGTTGAAAGTTTATTATTCTAATGGATTGACGCTGAGACAATAGCAATTTGTTAATGCAATTGTTTCCAACTTGACCCCAAACTTGACAACAATATCTAAAATGAGATGAGAATAATGCATAGTAAATATTCTTTAGTGTAACTTTATTAACAAACAGATGAACTGAAGAGAAGTGAACAGAGTTGATTAGGTTGTTAATGTAGATTAAAAATAAAAGAGGACCTAAAACAGAATCTTGAGGAACACCACACAAAACTGATATTACTAGAATTGAAACCATTAATACTTAGAAATTGTTTTCGATCTGAAAGATAAGGTCGAAACCAAAATACTATGGTCAAGGTATCAAATGTTTTTTGCAAATCTATAAAAAAAACCACAAACAAAATGACCACTGTCGAGAGCTTTCCTGATTTTTTCAGTTATACTTATCAATGCATGGCAGGTAGAGTGTTAAGAGTGGCAGGTAGAATGTTTTGAACAAAAACCAAATTGAAATTCATTTAAACAGTTAAAAGAATTAAGAAAAGAGTACACTCTAGAAAACATAAGTTTTTTAAGTTTTTTACAAATGTTAGATAAAAGAGAAATAGGTCTGTAGTTAGTGCATGAAAGTTTAGATCAATTTTTAAATATTGAAGCAACGCAAGATAGTTTTAAAATATCAGGAAATGTTCTATTTATAAATGAGGTACTAAATAGTTTAGAAAGAATTTTTGAAAATTCATAGTTAAAATCTATAAGAGTATTTGTGGGAATGCTGTTTGGACTTAATGATTTTTTTTTGGATTCAATTTAGATATAAGAGATAAAATTTCAGGAGTATTTGTTGGAGATAATAATAAACTATGTAAATTTGGATGTTTAAGATACTTTTGATAGTTAATGTAACGACGAATAAATATTGGATTTGAGTTTATGAGCAACATTTGTAAAAAAAAGTGTTAAATGATTCAGAGATTAGAGTTGGATCAGTTATATATATTTCTTTTTCTTGCAAAGAGTTGGGAGATGATTTATTAAATTTTTTTACATTAATTATAATGTTAATGCCTTTCCAAAGTTTGCAACGATTTTTAAAATTTTTTCAAATTATCATATTCTTTTATTTTTAAAAAATGCTTTCAAACTTATTTTTATTAATAAGATCTTTAGATCTTATAATTTTTTGTTGGAAAAGATTGCACACTTGAATAGATTTTATAATTTCTTTTGTAATCCATGGTGTGAATCGACGTTTGAAGTTTGTGATACTTGTTTTTTTAAGCGGGGCGTAGTGATCTAAAATCAGTGTTGTTTCAGTAGCAATCATTTGGAAAAATGTATTAGTATCATTAGACTTTATAACATCATCCCAGGCAATTTTTGATAAATCAGATTTAAAATTTTTTTTATTATAGTTTTTAAAACTCCTGCTATTTAAATTATGTCTGCGTGGTAAAAGTAATTTATTGAAATTGGGACAAATACGAAATTGAGGTAAGTGGTCAGAAACGGAAGATGTCAAATTTCCTGAAACAATTTCATTTGCTATTAAACTAGAGAAAATATCATCAATATTTGTAATTGTATCATCAATAATTGTAGTAGAGTGATCAGTAATTCGGCAAAGTATTCAAAGGGCGAATATTATAAAAAGAAAATAAGTTTAAAAAATCAGGTCATTAATTGATTGCATCAGATCAATATTATAATCACCAAGTAAGAAAATAGATTTATTTTCAACAGATATTTTTTGGAGTAAGACAGACATGATATTTTTAGAAAAAATAACTTTAACAAATGTGGATTCTAAACAATTAGGTGTGTAAATCATTAAATCATCTCTTTGTGTGTAAATTAATTTTTTCGATAAATACAATAATGTACCACTACAAGAGGATTCCGTTGGTGTGTGCTCAATGTTATAATTATCAATGAGAATTGGATGAATAGAGGATATTTCTTTTTTTAACCTTGTTTCAGTTTTACTAATAATGGAAAAATCAAAATCGGTTAATGATAGTATATAACAAAAACATTTAACTATTTTTAATGCCATATATTGTTTTTTACAAAAGAATTTTCAGACTTTTTGGTTCTAATCTGATTAATTTTTCATCTTTTGACACCAATAAAAATGAATTTTCTTGTAAAAATTAAATGATGTTTTAATTTTTGATTATTTTATTTTTTAATCTGTTAGGTAGATAGTGAATTGTATTTAGGCATACATATTTACACATTCAAACCTGCATTAATGTTAAAGTAAAAGAAAGTATTTTTCTAACATGTTTTCCTTATGATATTGTTTAAACTAACCGATATAATTTTACTGATAAAAAAAGTATAAAAGTCATATTCCTAAGCCATATAAATCATTTTCAAACAAGTTGAACATGGTAATCAAACAGGAAACTTTCTTTTCTGCTTACAAGGTGAACACTCTACCACCACACCACTACTGCATGTAAACTTGTAGTTAACAATTCTGTTATCTAAAGTATATTATTAGAAATACGTTTAACCTAAAAGACAAAGTTATTTTTTGAGCAAAGAAAGGAAACTTATAATAAATTATTGTTGCTTACAGCAAAATTGAAACTTTATAGTCTACTTTAGCATTTGCCTTAAAACTTGTGTTAATTAACTTTTCTTATTCATTCATTTTATTTAGTTATTTATTCATTTATTTAGTCATTTTAGCTCACACATTGTAACTAAAAATCAAAAAAATAACATAAAACTTGATAATCTTCACTATCTTTTATTAATATATATATATATATATATATATATATATATATATATATATATATATATATATATATATATATATATATATATATATATATATATATATATATATATATATATATATATATATATACATATATGGTTAGAACTCAATAAATATATATATAAAATAAATATATATATATAATATATATATATATATATATATATATATATATATATATATATATATATATATATATATATATATATATATATATATATATATATACATTTATGGTTAGAATTCAATGAATACAGCTGCGTATAAACTTTTTTTTAAATATATATATTTTTTTCTTTAATATACAATTATTTCGATATTTCGCTGATCTATTGTGATCAGCCAGCGTCATCAGGTATAATAAATAAAATAGTTACAAAAATTGTTATAGTAAAAACAAACCGTTAAAAAGATAACATTAAAAAGCCAAAATATAATACAGAAAAAAACTTTTTCAAATAACTGATGTCAGCAGATTTTATTAAGAAATGGCCCCCAGGTTTTGGTTGTTATGTTATCACCGTCATCCTGATTGAGAACCACGTCACCATTTCTCAACTCCTGTTGAACCTAGCCTTGCTTATTTCGAGTGACTCTCTGATATTCTGTGTTCGATATTTTGGGGTGCAACCAATCAAACTTACCATAGCATGTTTTAGAATGCTCAGTTGCACCTGAACTGGACCATTTTCCTTTTAAGCTGTTTTTTTGGTGTTCCATACATCTCGATATCACCTTCTTTTTAGTTTCGCCAATGTATATCGAACCGCATGAACATTTTAGCTGGTGTACGCCAGGGTCTGTGTTTAGTGGTAGTTTAGTTTTATTGTTGCAGAAAATATTTTTTAAATTGGGAGTTGATGTGAAAATAACCTTTATGTTTTGCTTTCGAAATTCTTTACAAAGTTTTGGACTGTAAAAAAAAAAAAAGCCGTATTTATTGAATTCTAACCATATTTTAATGTATAACAAGAAAATGACATTCAAAGATTATATATATATATATATATATATATATATATATATATATATATATATATATATATATATATATATATATATATATATATATATATTTATATATTTATATATTACTTGTTAATTTTAAATTAAATTTTACACAAATAAATTTTATGTCAATATGAAATTGTTAAGATGAATGTTATATCTTTGTGCAAGTTTTTATCAATATAATTAAACCTTATTAATAAAAACTTATTTGTCAAAAATAAAAATCAAGCTGAAATGTATTATTGTTTTTAAAAATTCTTGTTTAAATAAATATTAATATTATTCCATTCCGTATTTTTAATAAACTGCATTTGAGGAGCCTATTTGCAAAAACTCCAAGTAAACTGATTTTAAGAAAATACTAAACTACTCTTAGTTGCGCATCAACAAAAATTGATATTTTCTGTGTCCAATTATAGGATCAAAAGTTTTTTATTTGGTCTAATATTTAAATAGATGATAGATTTCAGTATATAGAATGTGGAAATAGAATCAAAAATTCTATTTCCACAATCAACTCAAAAATTTTATTTTTATGATGCGTTTTGCTGATGGGTTCCTCATTTATTTATGTGTTACTAGATAGATTTCTTTTGATAGATCGCAAGTGAGTTTCAGTATAATAAGTTACTTTTCCACTACTGTTAAAATTCCAGAAATAAAAACATAGCACCATATCTTGATTATGTGTGCATAAATGCTTTCAAAGGATGTTCACAAAAGGTGCATTCCAGAGTTTGTAGGTTGCTATGAATTAAAAACAATTTCATTTGGAAATATTATTTTTAAACATTAAAAAATAAAAATATTTTTTTTCACAGTAGTTTATCAAACCTTTGTCTACAAACCGCAATTGCCAAAAACTTAATTTTATTATTTTTTAAAATATTTTCAAAATAAATTTAAAAATCTTTAAAAAAAGTTAATCTTATTTAATTTTATAAATAAAAAATTTTATGTTTTATTCTAAATCAAAAATAGTTCTTTGAAAAACTGCTTTTATAAAGGTTAATCAGAAAAAAAAAGTTCACTTTTGAACTAGACTTTTATAGAACTTTTATATTTTAAACTTGTTTTCTTAGAAACTTAGTAAAGATGAAGTGTGGCAAACAAAAATACACAAAGAAAAACAAGCTGCAAAGGCTGCTTTAGCCCAACTAAGAGGTAGTTATAAGAGGGGTACTGCATATCGCAGCGCTGGAAATAACAACCGATCAAAGGTAAAGGATCATCTACTATACAAAAATATGTTTTGATTTTCCAATATTAATCCTTGTAATTCTTGCAAATCAAACTTGATTGTTATTACTACTTGCTAGCACAAGTTGCAAGGCACCTAATAATAAAAAATTTAAATACCTTCAAAAGAAAAGTTAAAATTATTAAGTTAACTAAATGTTTTTGTTTATTGAAATAAAAAGAGTTTTGAAATTTTAATAGTCTCAAGTTTACAGTATAAAAAAGTGCGACAATATTACTGAATAAACAAAAATACAGATTGATAAAAAATCCTGAATATTTTTGATTGGTGGAATAAACATCATATTTTTCTGCCTCAAAAAAAAAAAAAAAAAAAAATTAGTTAATTAGATCTTCATAAAGTTTTGTGAATGAATTGATTTTTTTGAATTAATTTAAAATAATAACTAGAAATGTTAACATTTCTTTTAAAGTCCAAATAAAAGCAATCATAAAGATTTAAGCAAAATATTTTTGATAATCACTAAATTTGAGATCACTAAACGCCAAAATAATGTTTTTGTTTTAAGTGTTAAAATTAATTAAAAAAAAAAGTATAAAAGAAATATTATCATAAAATATGCTAAAACAGCTGTAAGTGAAGCAAAAAATAATATGCTAAAACGGCTGTATGGGTGTAAGTGAAAATATTTAAAATTCATAACAAATATAAAAACTTATATTTTATATAAAGATTATTTATAAATAAATTTTTTTTTCAAATCATTGTTTTTTTGTGGATTATCAGATTTTATAGCAATATGAAACTATAAACTATTGCACTAACTCAAAAGGGTAAAATGCATCAAGTATTATGCAGTAGTACTTAACCTGTATTTTATGATGACAAAATTTGGGTGAAAATTGCAAAAAATAAATTTGATATTCCGAAAAAAATTTGATCAGCTATTTTTCAATATTTTTTATTTTAGCTGAATAGTGTTAATTGACAACCTTTAAATAATTATTTCCAGCGCTGGCAACACATATTATATAATAGCAACAATTATTTTATTTTTTAATGTATTGATTAGTATTTAACTAATTTTTTCTATTTCAGTATTTTTATTTTAAATTTTATATCAATGTTTTTGACTTTTCCAGTTTTCTAGTCCAACCAAAATTTTCTGTTAAAACAGTTAATTTATTGAATCTTTTGACAATTTATTTTATTATTATTTTGCTTAATTTAGAATTAGAACAAACTGTCAGACTAGCAATGCAAAATAAAAAGAAACAATTGTTTAATGAAGTCCAAAATCAGTTTTATGCTGCTTTAGAGGTATTTTATTTGTAGTTTTTATTTTGTTTGTTGTGCTTATTTGTTGCAAGCAGACTAGCTTATTGAACTTTTGTCACTGAGTTTGGTTGACAGTTTATATAAGCAAGCTTTTCAAACCTTTATTTTTATACTATTTAATATTTTAATGCTTGTAATGCTATGTTTTGCGTTGACGTAAATACACAGTATAAGATGTTGCAATGGCAAGATTATAAGTTTTATTACTACTTTCTGACTTTTTTTTACAAGTAATGTTTTTTCTTTTTTTAGGAGAGAAATAAAAAAAAAGAAATAAAGTTGGAGGATGACAAACATTGGTTAAATGAAATGAAAAAAAGAAATGAGAAAGAAGATCATATTCAGCTAAAAGCAAGGTTCAGTTGTTTGTTCTCCATCACCTTAAAACTATAAGAATTTTAAAAATGAATATTAATTTTATTTAAGAATAAAAACATTGTGGCATTATTATATTACATTGTTACTATCTGGTGGTTTAGTATGTTATATTAATAATGTAATTAGTTATATATATATATATATATATATATATATATATATATATATATATATATATATATATATATATATATATATAATATAACATATATATATATATATATATATATATATATATATATATATATATATATATATATATATATATATATATATATATATATATATATATATATATATATATATATATATATATATATATATATATACATATATATACAGCCCTCGGAATTAGGGTCAGTATTTGGCAATGCTGACCAATTGCCAATCTGAAAGTGTTTTTTTTCACCTCATTTCTATGTTTTATGGTAAGACCTTTGTTTCAAATTGTGTAAAAAACGGACCTCTAAAAGATTGAATTTGGTAAATTATTGCTGACTTTTTTCCTTATTCGGAGGTTTTCATATTTATATATATATATATATATATATATATATATATATATATATATATATATATATATATATATATATATATATATATATATATATATATATATATATACATATAGTATTAGTTATGCGTATAATGTTTTATAATTTTTTTTTTTTTTTAGAGAAGAGCTGGAAATGTTTTATCAAAAAATCTCTACTCAAGTTGACCAAAGAGAATTCCATGCTCATTGGTTAATAAGGCGTTTCAAACTTTCTGATAAACGTTTACAATTTTTAAAAAAAGAAGAAGAAATTCAAGAAATTAGTTTAAAGAGAATGAATTCAAACATTCCTAATGCCAAACTTGAAATCGATTTTACAGACTCTGCTGTTACAGTCATGGACTCCATTTTGGAATCTATTAAAATAGGATCCAAATTCCTCAGTAGTGATTCTACTAAAGATGACTCTGATAATTGTACTAATTCTAGTAAAGATGGTTGTACTGTTGATACAGATGATACTTACCACCGACATACTGACTTAATTGATACTACTAAACTAACAGAAGTAGGTTATGAAGAATTATTTTTGCCAGTAAGATCAACCACACCTATATCTATAGTAAGATCAACCACACCTATATCTGCAAAGACTTATAATCAAGAATATAGTGAGGCTAAAGAATTAATTTATCAGGAAAAAATATATAATAATAATAATGCAACATTGTCTAAAAATGCGAATAAAACGCTTTTTTTTGAAAAAGATGCAATACTCAATAGCCCTCATACTCAAGAGCACAGTGAAGCTAAAGAGTTAATATATCCTAATAAACTCACTTCAGATAATCTTTTATTATCTAGCAGTATTGGAGATGAAAAAACTTTAAAGTATTATGAAAATAAGGAGCTATGTTTAGAAAACAGAATGGAAAAAAATGTTAATCAATATGCAGATGATAAAACAAAGAATCTTTTAAATTTTAATGAGCAACTAGAATCTGTTGTCAATGCGTTACCCATAAGAAATTCTAATAGTGAAGGCTCTGATACTTACAACCTATTATATCCAACTGATGCATCTGACTTTCGATCTAGTTTTTCAAATTTGAAAAGTAGCAAAGAGAAGAATGTTCAAACCTTTAGTGACCAGTCTTTAACTTCTCAGGTTATTGTAGATACATTTCCAGAGTTGGTTGCAGAAAATAGCCATTTTTTACAGTACTCTGAAAATAAGTTACAAATGGTACATAATGCTTTACTATCTGAAGGGAGGGAAACAAAAACCTTGCTTTACCATTCAGAACATCTCCCTGATACTTTTGATTCCACCAGATTTTCTGTTTCAGAAGGATCTGATACCTATAATTTATTATACCCAACGGATAATACAAATTTTCAATGCACAATCTTAAGTTCTAGAGGATGTAAACAAGAAGGATCAGAAGCTAAAGAACTTATTTACCCCTCACCTGAACCATGTTCCTCACAGATAAATGAAAGTCCAACAGTTTTTCAGGTTTCAGTTGTAGAAAAAGGCCAAGTTAATTGTATAGACAATCAATCAAAAGTTGATAATAGTGTGCTTTTATTGGAGAAAGAAAAAGATAAAACTAAAAAATTAGAGCATTCTCCAAAAACTGTTGATTCTATTAGAACTTCTCACATACAAAGTTTAGATACATACAAAACATACCCAACTGATGTTTTTGATGTTCAGAAAAACATCGCTAGTTCTAGGGGGTATAAACTTGAAGGATCTGCAATGAAAGACCTTATCTATCAGTCCGTTGATTCTGTTCCACAATCATCATTAAAATCATCAGACTTTCAAGGATTAGTTACAAAAACAGTTTTAAATCCTAATGAAAGGATGCCTAATAATGTCTCATCAATATTACCTCATCTCTACCCACAAAGATATCCAACTTTAGAACAAGGAGTCTTAAAAAGTCTCAAGAAGTCTGAACCTGCAGCTAAAATTAAGGAGTTGATGTATCCATCAGTTGTTCTAGAAAGTAAGTTTTTTTTGTATCATTACTATCTGATAGCAACAAATGTATAAATTTAATTATTTCTTATATTAGTGTTTATAATTGTGAAATATATATAGTGGATATATTAAAGTATATTTGGTGGAGATGCGTATGAAAGATTAGGAAAGTTCAATAACTTAGTATTTGGGTCTAACATAGCTTGTTAAGTACTCCGTTGTTGGTAATTTAAAATAAAAATGTTAAATCATGTTAATTCTATGTTTGCTTGTTTTTTTGCATTCTAGTTATTTTTAGCCCCTAAAAAGCAAACTATATCTAATATGACAAAGGAAGAGATTTGGATGGATTCCATTGTTGAACCACTGCAAGATAACTTTGAGGCAATGGGTAAATTTCTGTTTTTTGTTGAATTTTTAAAAAAATTTTAAGTAGTTTAAATTAATTTTAGTTATATAAATTTTGGGTAACTAAAGATTTAGAACCACAACCATATCGTTTTGGAAATCAAGCGATGATGTCACAAAACAATTTAGAAGTAGACAATGATACTGATTTTATTAACCAACTTCCTTTGGAGACAATAATTAATAGTTCGTTGCGAACCACTATTCAAACACAGTATAAATAATATTTTTGTTTATAAATATTATTTTTGCTTATAAATAGTATTTTATAAATATTATTTTTGCTTATAAATAGTATTTTATAAATATTATTTTTGCTTATAAATATTATTTTATAAATATTATTTTTGCTTATAAATTTTATTTGCAATTTTAGCTATTAAGCTTCAATAAAACTGAGTATTTACAACAATGTTCTTAGTTGTTTTTTTTTTTTCATTTTTTAAATAGAATTTCTCTGGTGAATAAATCAGTTGTGCAATACTTTATTGGTGATCTTGACATTGAAGTTCATTTTGATGCATTCCGCAAGTTTTTATTACTTGAGGATGGGGAGTTTGGTCATAGCTTATGCAGTCAGTTATTTTCTAAGGTAAGTTTCTAGCTATATTTTTTCTATTAATTTTTCAGAAAATATCTAGTTTAGCTTTATAAAGTTTTAAATTTTTACATTCAGGTATCATCTGGAATGAATCCTCAAGATTTTTGCAATTCAATACATTTAAACAATATCATCATTGAAGCTTTGCGAATTTCTCTTTATGCATCTCGCATAAAATACTCAAACCAACTTGCATTTTCATTAAAGTCTCTTCCTGAACATTTCAATGTCTCAGAAGTTTCTGTTCTTGATTTTTTAGAACTAAGATACGGGGTATTGGCTTAATTTATTAAATTTTTCTTAATTTTGTTATTTTTGAATAGTGTTTTATTGTTAATAGTATTAATGCATTTATTTTGTTCTAGAAAAAATATGTTTTTATGTTAATAGAATTTACGCACAGTTGGTGTGTTTTTTGTGTTGTCTTTTTATGTTCCTAAAGTATATTATCTATTTATTTTTATTGTATTTCTATGTTGATTAAATATATGTGAATAAATAATCTACTACTGTAGATTTATTATGTGGATTTAGGTTGTTAGTGTTAGTTATTCATTACTAGAAAAATATATTTTCTATGTTTATGTTTAAAATCTGTCATTTTAATTTAGTTAGATGTTATTAATATTTTGCTGACCTATTGGGGTCAGCGTCATCAGGTAATATAATTTAAAATCAATAAAATAATATAATAGTGTCAAAAGTTAATTTTTTTTTCAAAAAAGTTCTTGTTTTTACATTGCTGTCATCGTCTTGATTGAGAACAATTTCCCTTATTCCTAACTTAAGCCTTTGCTCTGTTTATCTCCAAGATTTCGTTAATTTTTCTGATCCAGTATTCTAAAACGACTGATGCTTTCTTAGGATTTAGCCAATCAAAGTTACCAGCATGTATGTATGTATGTAAGTATGTATGTATGTATGTATGTATGTATGTATGTATGTATGTATGTATGTATGTATGTATGTATGTATGTATGTATGTATGTATGTATGTATGTATGTATAAGCATATAGCCTGCTGCTGCAAAGGAGTGCCATCACATAGCCTGAGGGTTTGAGCTAGGGCAGCAAGTTTTACATATATATATATATATATATGCATATATATATATATATATGCATATATATATATATGCATATATATATACATATATATATATATATATATCTATGTATATATATATGCATATATATATATATATATAGTCCTGGGAACTAAAACAATTGTAAAAACTTTGTGTTAAAAATTTGTCCTGACTTGATGCCGACCATAAATAAGTTAAGGTCGACAATAAATTGCTTACCTTATTTTTTCTAATTCCGAAGGTTGATGTATGTACTGAAGCCCTCATAGCTCTTTATTTTTGGTATAATGTCATCGATGTGTATGCCACATTTACATATGTGTATATATACAGCCCTCGGGTATTAGTAAAAATGAGATTGGCACTATTTTACTGACCTTAATCTGTTAAAGGTTAGCATCAAGTTGGCTAAAATAATTTGTAAATATAAAAACATAAAATATAGAAATGAGGTCGGCAAAAAATTGCTGACCTCAAACACTTCTAGGTTGGCATTGTTAAATGTCAACCCTGACTCCGAGAGTTGTTTATATATATATATATATATATATATATATATATATATATATATATATATATATATATATATATATATATATATATATATATATATATATATATATATATATATCTGTGTGTGTGTTTGTGTGTCCATGTTGGTGTGTTTTAATTATTTAACTGTCTTTTTTAATTTAGGTACCATGGCCTTGCAATATTGTAGTAACTGAAAACAGTATCATCAAATATAATAAGGTAGGTTAGTTTAACAAATAAATATATATATATATATATATATATATATATATATATATATATATATATATATATATATATATATATATATATATATTATATATGTATATTATATGTATATGTGTATATATATATATATATATATATATATATATATATATATATATATATATATATATATATATATATATATATATATATATACACATATATATGTATGTACAGGTTATTAACCAGGAATACATTTGATAAAGCATTTTAATAAAATTGGGAATTTGTTAAAATGTTTCATAATCACCCCTCCTCCTCCTCCACTGAGAATCAAATGTGTTCTGGGAATGCATGGGATCCTTTTCTTATATTCTTTCTTTTTCTTCTCCACTTGTATGCAGCACCCCACAGTGCTGCATACATTGATTGGACAGCGCCAAAATTAGAAAAAAAAATACCGTCTCTAACATTGAAGATTAATATAAAATCATCACAAAATTAAATGTTGTTTCATAATGACATGGCAAATTAAGCTCTGATTTCCAAACATATATTAGGAATTATATATTTTTCTATTATAAAACAATCAGTGTATATTAATTAATTATTATTAAGAATAATATAGTTGATTTATTTTTACTCTTAATATATCATTGCCGCTTTTATTTCAAGGGTATTCTTTTGAATATATATTTCTTTTTTGCTGTAATATAGTAATATAGCTATTTATGTTCAATGAAAATCTCCGTGGAAGAGAGCTAATGATCTTCTACTTCTAATTATTATTTAAATTCTGCTGGCATCCTTTATAGATGAACATCATCATTTAATAAATTGTGTCATCAAAAGAAACGTTTTGATAAATAGATAAGGTTTTCAAAATAGTAAACACGAGCTCGTAAATTTTATATTTCACATTTATTGTGAGGTCAATTTTATAATTAATAATAATTTTCTTTATACATAAATTGCATAGCGAAATAAATTTATAATAACAGTCTCAGCAAAAGCAACAACAGATGTCATTTAATTATAGAAGAAAAAATTGCAAGCAATTGCAAGTGTGGCAATAAGGATTACCAATAGTTGTTTTTTCATTTATAGTTACAAAATGGTATAACTTTTAAAAAGTTTATTCAAAATGTTACATTTTTAATTCAAGCAAGCGATGAATCTTGTTTTCTGCAATTTAAATTTCTAGTACCAGTTTGTTGTAATAAAAAAAAAATATTCTTGTTATTAAACATATTTAATTTACATTTTAATATATGTATTTACGTTTTAAATAAAAGCAAGCAGTAAAGTAAAGAAATCTATTTTCCTCATTAAATAAATCTTTAGTACCAATTTTTTATAATCATAAAATATTTTTTGTATTCAACTTATATTTCAGATTGGTTTTTTTAAAAAAGTTTGTGAATTTATAGTAGATAAATAAAAAAAGATTTTAGTCTATGTGATCACCTAATTAAGTTGATATAAAATACCAAACAAAAAAATGAAAAACAATAACTAAAAGACTTAGGGATCATCCATAAATTATGTAATGCAAACTTTCACAATATACAAAACAAAAAAGACAAAAGTTTACCCTTGCAGGGTCTTAATTTAAATATAAAATCAAAATAGCCCATTCAGTTTAATGAAAATCGCCACATAAAAGAACTTAGTAGTTCCGACTTCTGTTTTTTAAATATATTTTGCATTGTGTAATTTATGGATGACCCCTAACCGTAATATCCATAATTGTTCAAAATTTCAAAAGTATCTGACATAATCAGCTTCTCAATATTTTTGTTGACAAAGCACATGTGCTACTTGAAGTTGAGTTTGCAGTAAGACTTAATAAGTTGTTTAAATTTCAAACCAAAAGTGGTGAATCTTTAAAAAAGTTAAAAAGTGTTTATAGTTTATAGTGTTTTTTGTTTGAAAATCCTTTAGGTCCTATGGGACATTTTGGCTAGGGTAGTCCACAGACTTTTTTTGAAAAGAATAATTCAATTTTAAAATTTTTTGGATGTAAAATTAGAATTAAATCTTTTAATGAAAAAACTGCTTGATATTTTTTTTTGATTATTTTGGAATGGTTTGGAAATTCCTTTTTTTAGCAAAAACTTGTATTTTTTATATTTATAAAAAAAATTTCAAAAACAATAAAAATTTTACATAATATTTATTATTATAAGTTTTATTGCATAAAAATTATTTTTTAGTAAAAAATTAAAAAAAGCCATTTTTTCATGGTTTTTGGTCGAAATTTTTTTTCGACCAAAAACCATGAAAGGTATTTTTAACAAAAAATCATAATTATTTTTGAAATTTATATAAAATTTCGCTTCTTTTGAGACCCAAAATGACATACATTTGAAAAACCTTTTTTTCTTCTGTTTAGGGTCTCGTCGCAAGTTTCAGATTTGAGGTGGCCCCCCTAAATCTCATTCAATTTTGAAAAAATTTAACAGTGTCTTAAAATTTAATAGTGTCAATAGAAAGTTTTAAGAATAGGGACAGATCAATTTTTGAAAGTATGGGGCGTTAGATGCACCCTAACTTGTGTAAGAAAGTATTACCAGTAGTGTTGTCACGTACTAAAATTTCAGTATTCGGTACCAAAATACTCGGTACTTGGTACCAAATTCAGTACCTAAATGAAGGAAAAATTAAACTGGCCACAAACTAAATTGTAAGCATGCATATTTTTTATATTTGTAGCATATACTTTTTTCTACTATATATATATATATATATATATATATATATATATATATATATATATATATATATATATATATATATATATATATATATATATATATATATATATATATATATATATATATATATATATATATATATATATATATATATATATATATATATATATATATATATATATATATATATATATATATATATATATATAGTAGAAAAAAGTATATGCTACAAATATAAAAAATATGCATGCTTACAATTTAGTTTGTGGCCAGTTTAATTTTTCCTTCATTTAGGTACCGAATTTGGTACCAAGTACCGAGTATTTTGGTACCGAATACTGAAATTTCAGTACGTGACAACACTACTGGTAATACTTTCTTACACAAAAACTGCTGGTAGAACTGTCTGTCTTGCTTGAACCTGTGTCACCCTAATATACACCATAAATATATCAACAACTGAATCAACACTGTATCAACACAATATTTAGCAACATGTACAACTCCCCACATTAAAGAGATAGTTCAACCTTTTGAAATGCTGAATGCAGAGTGTATTTTTTCTACCTAAAGAGAATAGTTAATAGCTATAATTACTAACAATAACATGATAAAAAGAACATGATAAAATAAATGATAAAAATAAAAAACAAAAATCAAAAAAAATAAAACCTGATATCAATAAATGACTTACCTTCTAATAAAACAATTACAAGTACCACAACCACACCACTATTTAACACCCTAATGGTACTGCAACTCAGAACTTACAGGATATTACAAACTGCCAACACTGTACTGGGAGACATCTAAGCTTAATAGACACACACACACACACACACACACACACACACACACACACACACACACACACACGCACATACACACATTGGTTTCAGACCATTTAAAGCCATTATAACAAGTTAAACATTTTATCTTTTTTCAGCCCACTGTGTGATGCTAAGCTAGAGGTTTTTATAAGTTGTAAGTTCAAAAAAACTTTTTTCCAAGGTAAATAATTATTTTATTACATAAAAAAAGGTTCAAAAAGTAGCTGTAGAATGTTTGGTTTGCAAACAAGAGAGAAAGAGTTCAAACCTCACCACATATGTTGCTTGCTACAACTTTGCTGTGCAACAACCTGGCTTATAAAATGTTTGTTTTAGAGTTTTGAGAAATGTTTTTTAATAACATCAAAAAAATGTTAAGTAAACTGATTTGTTGAAACAAAGTAACACAAGTTTTAAATTTTTTAATTAACACATGTTTTTTAAAACATAAGTAAAGCAAATAATTAAATCAGCTATTTTAATTTGAATTATTATCAGTTATTTAATATTGTTATCTCTTTATATTAATGCTGAACTAAATAGTAGTAGTAATGCATTTTTGTTAGTATTTGACATGGAACTCTTGGCACCCATTGCAACCAAGGTAATGGCAAGGAGTCACAGAACTTTTTTTATTAGAAAATGTGAATGAAGTTGTATGCAAATACTTACGTAATTCTTAAATTATGTAATATTTCAACATATATCATGTTTGACTTCCACAGTAAAGCAAATAATTAAATCAGCTATTTCAATTTGAATTATTATCAGTTATTTAATATTGTTATCTCTTTATATTAATGCTGAACTAAATAGTAGTAGTAATGCGTTTTTGTTAGTATTTGACATGGAACTCTTGGCACCTATTGCAACCAAGGTAATGGCAAGGAGTCACAGAACTTTTTTTATTAGAAAATGTGAATGAAGTTGTATGCAAATACTTACGTAATTCTTAAATTATGTAATATTTCAACATATATCATGTTTGACTTCCACTTGAAAATTGGATTTCAACAATATCTCCTTATTTTTGATTGCAGCAATATATCCTTAGATTGCGTTATAGATTACGGCAGAATCTTTTTATTTTCGAATTAAAGCATTTTTTAGCTGTTTTATAAGTCTTTTGTTTATTAAATAATTTTAAAACTTTTATCTAAAGTGGTTAGCTTGAAGCATTTCTAAAATGTTGATGCTTCAAATACTTGTGCTTGCACATTTTTTTTTAATTTTTTAAAATACAAAGTAAGTAAATTTTTTAAAATACAAAGTAAAACATTTTTGAAGTTCTATAGATATTATATACATAACATATAAAAAGATATTGTACACAATGTTGTGTATTATATTGTATACTATAACAAACAAAAAGTAAGAAAAACATCAAAACATCGGGAGATTATGTTTTGAAAGAGATAAAAGATACTTATGTTATTAATTTGCTCAGGTAATTAGTCCTAATAAGCTTTGCATGTTTTAAAAAAAAATATTAGTGTGAAATTTAGTAAAGGAAAAATTTAGGAGCAGATTTGAACCCTTTCAAAACAACGATGACAGCGCATTAAATCACTGAAATATTGTAGTTATGCATGTAAGAGTAAAACTAACTATTTTATAAATCTCTTATAAGGGATCGTCCATAAATTACGTAACACAAACTTTCACAATAAATAAGACTAAAAAGTTTCAAATTTTTCCCTCGCAGAGTCTCAATTTAAATAAAATATCAAAATAAAAGTTTAATGAAAATTGCCACGTGTAAGAGCTTAATACCTCCTAATTCTGTTTGTTAAATTTTGTGTTGCATAATTTGTGTTTAAGCATTTTTTTCAATTAATTTTTTTTTTTTTACCACTGACTAATAAATAATTAAGTAAATAAGGAATAAGTATAGAAGTGGTCGGTGTGGAATAGATATGTATGGTAATTTTATAGATTCGGACAGCTAGGGTATATATATATATATATATATATATAAGGAAAAAGTAGAGAAAAGTTGGTGTGGAGTAGACTTTCAAAGACCTGTATTTTTATGAATCCGGTCAACTAGTTATTATTATTATTATTATTGTTATTATTATTATTATTATTATTATTATTATTATTATTATTATTATTATTATTATCAAATAATGAATTAATTTTTTTGTTCATTTTTGTTTTTTTGTTTTCAAAAAAAAATCATTTTGAGAAGTTTTAAATTACAGTATAGTAACTTGAGATTTGGAGTATTTCTTATATAAGTTTAAAGTACATGAAATAGTATATACTTTATTAAGTAATTATATACATTTTTTGATTTTATATATTAAAATATTTTTTAAAACGATTTTATTTGCTCTAAATCCAATTGTTTTAGTTTGATTTCTTACTAGGTGTTCTCTTTTTTACTTCGTTTAAAAAAAGCTGGGTGGAGTTTGCAAGAAGTATGGTTAAACCTAAAAAAAGCAGGTTACAGATTATTTATGACAAAATTATTTAAGATAAGATATTTTTCACACGATATGTATATTATTTATCAACTGTAGGTTATAGTCGAAAAGCGGCTAGCTCACCAGAATTGAGACAACTGCAACTCTTTCGGTAAGTTCCTTATTTTTAAGTTTTATTTACAGTTCAAGTCTGTTAGCTGGGTATATAACCCAAATTTTATGAGTTTAAACATCCTACCTTCCTAGTTACCTCACATTAATTGCTTTATTATAAAAGTTTTATAAAAATCTATTGTTGAACTAATTTTTCCATAAATGCAATAATCATTTCAGAGAATTCTACTCAAATGTGGTAATTAAAGTAACAAACACTATTAATGCTCTATTGTTTTTTTTTTTTTAAGTCACGAGATGCAGCATTTTGTTAATAACTTGGAACGGTACATTGTTAATCAAATTTTGCATGTAAGTTGGAGAGAGTTTCAGCAAGATCTTCGTCAAAAAGTATTTAGTTTCATTATAATAAATTATTAAATTATTGTTTTTAGTTTATAGTAAACAAATATAGAATACATAATATATAATTAAATTCAATGAAAGGTTCACAGTCTGGACGATCTTCATAAGTGCCATGTCAATTATCTTAACAGAATTATATTTAGGTAAACATAACTTACTCGATTTATCGTCAACTAAAATGTATTTATGTGTGTAAATTATATATATAAAGTATAATTGTATATATATATATATATATAAGTATATATATATATATATATATAAGTATATATATATATATATATATATATATATATATATATATATATATATATATATATATATATATATATATATATATATATATACTTATATATATATATACTTATATATATATATATAAATATATATATATATATATATATATATATATATATATATATATATATATATATATATATATATATATATAATTATTACATAAAAATTTATATGTATATATTATTACATAAAAATTTATATATATATATTATTACATAAAAGTTTATACATATATATTTGAAAAAATTTTCATTTGTGACTTTAGGTCGCTGCTCAGTAAAAACGCCACTCCAGTTTATAAGCTTATAACAGATATTTTTGGACTTATTTTAAAGTTTGAAGGGAGACTGCGATTGTCGCCATGGGAAAATGATAAGCAAACAGGATATGTTAAACATCCCTTCTTTAGCAAGTTAAAATCTATTCATGAAACTTTTAAACATTGCACAGAGTTTCTATTCTCAAGTAATTTTTTGTTATTTAATTAGTTTTTATTCTTAAAATATAAAAAAAGAAATTAGCTTGTTATATTTTAAAATTATTTATATGATTTAGATTTATTTTATATTTATTAAAATAACATTTTCACAGGTTTTAAACTTAAATTTATCCTTTAAGAAAAAATAACATTATTTTTAAGTTCTTCAAATTTATAATTGCTTCACGTCCTTTAGAATGGCATTCTAAATAAGTTTAAATTATAAATTATCTTAAATAATGCTTTTCCAAGCTCTCTTAAATTCCAATATTTATTTTCATGTATTCTTAAATATCATTAACATGTTTTCTAGGTTCTTTTAAATATCACTCTATTACATTAACGTGTTTCTACGTTCTCTAAAATATTGTTCATTAACACTTTTTAAACCTTTTGTTAATTTTTGTTAATAATCTTAAAGTTTTGCGGTGAAGTGTTTCAAAGCCCTTAAATTTTTTTTTAGTAATATCAAAATTAGTACGTGGTGGTTACCAAGACCACTTAGACGATCTGTTGCTGCAAGTAAACTTTAACGACTTTTATACGACAGCCGTCGTCAAAAGTTAAAGAATATCGTGCTTTTTTTGACTATTATTTATTGTTATTTTTGAAGTAAAATCATTTTTGTGATATGTTATTTCAGTGTTGCACTGTATTGCTTCAAATAATTACTTTTGTGAGAACTAAGTTTCCCACCTAGTAACTAAGTTGGTAAGAGTATCAATCAAATGGACAGCTAGGGGGTGCGAATAAGTAAAAACACTTATTTGAAAAAATGTATTTATCATTTTGTATTTTACAATGTATATATAATTTATATAAAATTTAAACAAACTTGTTCTTTTTTTTTGATCAAAAATTTTTTGATTAAAAATTAATACTATCGAATGATTGGTTTTGCATCTGATTCTTATTTGAGCAGAAAAATTGCTCTTGCTGCAGTTGCTTAATGTTGTAGTTGTTTTTCTTTAGAAGTTAATCCAAAATCATATATTTGTAGTCTTGGTTTTTGCGTTATAATGTTGCTGCTATTATTATTATTATTTTTTTTTTATTTGTACCATATATCTACTTCAATAACTTATTTTATTAAATTCATTTTGGTGGTAATGTCTTCCACGGTGCGTTCAGAGAGCACCGTGGAAGAGCAAAAAACAGGAAGTTCATGCCTCCTTTTTTGTCAATGTCGCTTATCTGGGCAGTGCCAGCAACGAACCTACCTTTTCGTTCTGAGCCAAAAAACTAACTACTGCACCACGGCTACCAGGTATCTAACACTTGTATTAGACTAATCAAAAGTCCACGCCTTCCTTTCATGTTTATTAAAACTTATTTGACTTATAACCGTAATGATATTTTATTATAAATTAATGCTTGATAAGGATGGCTTCACGCGCACAGAGGTTTGATCAAAGAAGTGATTCCAATAATTTCTAAACGTTAAGATTTTAATTTTTAATATTTCAATAGTTTTTAAGCAGACTTAATTGTTTCAACAAACTAATTATTTTATTGTATAGAAACCAAATAGTTTTTTTTTATCTAATTGTATAAGATAATAAAATTATTATTTTCAAATGCTTTTTTTTTTTTTTTTTTTTTTGTCAAGTCTAACCATATAAAAAATAAATTGCGGAGAAGTTATAAAATCATTTCAGTAGCTTTTTTAGTATGTTGTAAAATTGGTGATTCTGCAGCATCTTATAATTGATCTATGCATGATACTTAAATTATTTGATAAATTAAAGTAAATGCGATTTTTATTTGCATTTTTTTAAGAAAGATTTTTCAATATCAAGGGGCCTATTAACCTTTTTCAAACCGCGTCAAACCTGGAAACTAATATTAACTTGAGGCAACATTTTTTTTTAAAACGCAACACTTGTTTATGTTTTGAACTCGTTGTTTTTAGGCAGTCTAATTCTTTTCTTGTGTTTTAACAACTTTAGATCTAAAGATAATGAGGGAAATCCTATAAAAGCATATCGATTGCCGAAAGATAAAAGTATTCAGAAACTTTACATGAAGCTTTTTAAAACTTCTGGAATGAATTGGAAAAAAGAACATAAATGTTCTGCCCATTGGAGTAAGAACATTAAAAATAACACCGAGCATTTACCTGACATTATTGTTCCTCCAAATCAGTTGGAAAAGCTTAAAAAAATAGTTATAAATTCGAAAAAAAGCTATACAAACGCAATTTCGACAACATACAAAGCAAAGAAGTTGTTAATGTTTAAAAAGGCTTCAAAAAGATATAAAATTGCTTTAACAATAGCTCAAAATGTAAATAGTTTTAAAAACAGACGAACCTTCGTAGTTCGTACGAAATAAACTATGAAAAAAACTGAATAAAAAAAATAACTTGAAAAATCCTTAAAAACAATTGAATTATTGCAAACTGTTATAAAAGAAAAAGATATTTGCATAACTAAACTTGAAAATAAAATCCTTAAACAAAGTGTAAAAGTTCAAGAGTTAAAAGTTGAAATTATGCATTTCTCTGGTAGCATAGGTAATTGGAGAGCAAAACAATTTACCTATGAAAATATTAAATCAAGAAAACAAACATTTCAATACTTATGTGGGGTATCCAAAGAAAATTTGGATATACTTTTTGAATGTGTACAACCGTATTTACATTTTATACCATACCCAGATTGTCAAAATACAGGTGAAAAAACAGTTAATAATTAAACAATGTTCTTTAGTGTTCTGACAGTATGTCGTCATGGATTAGATTTAAAATTTATGTCATTTTTGCTTGAAAAGTCTTATACAATTGTACATAGAATTTTTACTGGTTGGGTAATATTTTGTGCTACACTTTTTAATGAAATAGATTTAAAAGTTGATAATAGTTTTCTAAAAAAAATGCCAGATATATTTGTGGAAACTGGTAATGGATTAACTAACATTGTTATAGATGCCACTGAATTCAAATTTCAGCATGCTATGAATCTTGATTTGAGTAGTTTTATGTTCTCTCACTATAAAAACACTAATACAGGGAAAGCCCTTATTGGAATAGTTTCTCATGGAATTGGCCTTTTTTTCAGTGGCATCTATCTAGGGATCCAGACTCTGAAATTACAGAGAAGTCAGATATACTATCATTTATAGGAGAAAATCATGAAGTGATCTCAGATAAAGGATTTGCAATAACAGAGCTATGCTCTTCTAAAGGTATATACTTAAATCGACCGAAACAGAAATAAGGGCACCAATTTTTAGAATGTGAAATACAAAAAAACTTTAATATTGCTGCCACTCGTATTCATGTTGAGCGTTATAATGGGAGAGTACGTAATTGGAAAACTTTAAACAATGTCTGGCCTTTAAATCAAACGGATTTACTAGGTTCAACTTGGCAAATGTTGTGCCATATTACAAATATAACATTACTTCCTATAGGGCCAACAAATAAGTTATATAGTTAATAAATAAATATTTCAAAAAAATATGTTGTTATATGAAAAAATACATTAGGTTTGAATTGTAAAGTCAGTATCGTTCACAAAATTTAATAAAACAACTGATTGTGTGTATTTCTTGACAAAATTTTGAACTGATTTTAGGTTTTCAAATTTAGTTCCTTGATTCAAATATTTTTGAATTAGATAAAATAGTGTCACAAATGTCTAATAATATATTAATTAGAAAATTATTCAATTAAAAAAAAATTCCATTCTCAGGCTCTGGATGATAAGATAATAAAAAACAAAATTCAGCATCAGCACAAAGCATTTGCAATTGACATAGTATATAGTAATGTGAAAATCGAGCTAATGATTGAATGGGTCCATCACAGTTTTCTGCCCTTGTTTTAACCTCTAATATCAAGCCAGCAGCAGCAAGAGCATCTAGGCTTGCTCCATAGCGTATTTTTGTAGGATGTGTAAAGAAACCACATTCAATTGTTTTTGATTGGGAAATTTTTTCAAAATAAGATTTTTCATTTTACTCAAAAGAGGAGTAAAGATTTTTCAAACTTTACTTCTCTTTTTATATTTTTAATAGCCAAAAGTTTGCTTCGCTTTTACCAGTTTTTACAGTACTCCAGCAGTCAATAATTTTTTTTTTATTCAATAATCTTCGTAATTGATCCCACTCTTCAGTATTTTGGGCAACATCTATATAATTAGCTCCCTGTGGTTTTGGTAAGTTTAAAAATCTTATGTCAATATAAACTTTTGCTTTTGGGTTAATTTTTAATTGTTTCTCTATACTATTCATAATATTTAGTTTATTAGTGTCTTTTTATCAGCACAAGTGGACTTTATTACTTCAATAGGTAAAATATCTTGTGCCAGAATTTACTCAGAGCTTGTCATACTAATTTGTGTATTAAAAGCAGAAGAATTGTTGAAATTTGTTATTATTTTGTTAATTCTCTGTAACTTGTTTGTGTCGTCAGATAATATTGTTTTATCAAATAAAAGCGTTTTTGTATAATCATTGTCAGCAAGGCAAATTCCTTTTTTTTTTTCAAAGATAAAAGTTAAATGTCCCCCTAAAGAAGATTTTCTACCACTATCATATTTAGTAAGAACTGAATAAAAATGTTTAGTAACAGGTTTCTCCTTTTTCAGCTTTTCATTTAGTACATTAGACATGTTAGAAACATCGCGTTTAAAATAAGAAGTGCCAGGGTCAACAGCAGAGCAAGTAATAATGCCATGTTTTTTTTTATCTTTGCTGATTTTACTTTAATATCTTCAAAAGGCATCATAGGAATAGAGCCTTTTGCAATTAAATGGCACACCATTAACGAATAAAATAATTGCAGGTCGGGCATTTTGCTCATAAGATTTTTTTACCACTGCTTTTACAAAAGTGTTACTCAAGTCAGCTTGAAAAACTTTAACGTTTACTTTTTTTCTGCATTAAAGCATACGTGCAGCTTTTTCTTGTTGGCCGATACTTCCCTCGTTTTTATGCAACAAATATTTTTAAAATATCTTTTGATCAACAAATGGCATTTTAGAGTATTCTATTTCCCATTTTCGCAGAATTCGGTGGAATTATCGAAGATTCTAAACTGCACTCAAATTTGAAATTTCCATCAGCCCTGCTCTTAATTTTCTTAAGCAAATTCGGATATCTATTGAACTTTTTAATTCGATTTAGAAGTACATCTTTTGTGCCTGAAATAGGCAGTTGCAGATTTTTTAACCACGTGGTAGCTTCTTCTAATGTGAATTGATCAATTTTACATGTTTTATTCTATTGTAAAAGAAAATTATTATGATAAATCTGGTTGTAGTTTGATTAATATTGTTGATATAGTTGTTTGAACAAATATTGCGCTTCAAAAAAATGTCCCCTCAAGTAAATATTAGTTACTAGGTTCTAACGCGATTTGAAAAAGGCTAACTGGAGGGAAGTTTCTCATGTAAAGCAATTTGATTTTAATAATTTTAAATTTTATGACAAAAATAGTTGTTGTTTGCTTTTGAACATAGATTTTTATAAATTTGTGTTGCAGGCGTTTTTACTATTTTGAATCTCAGAATCTCAATTGAAACTGAACTTTAAAAAACATCCTACTTATTGATATCTTTAAGGCAGTGCTTGAATCGAGAAAAAAACGAAACGGGTTGGTTTTCAGCATTTTCAAAATATCATCCCGCCTATTCATTGCTATATACTTTATTCTTTAAAAAATAGTGGCGGGATGGCATATCGCCACGTCCTTTTTCAATTCAAAAACTGTTATAAAATATATATAAATAGTAATACATTATATAGTAATGACTATTGTTTTACGAAAAAACAGCAGAAAAACAATTAACAAAATATAACTGGTATTGCGTAAGTTGATCGGACAAAAT